TAACAGATCATTACACATAGCAGAAAAAAAAAAACAGGATTTAGAAGGTTTACGTGAAAGAAATAAATTCTATGAGAAAGAATAAATGACTATGGAAGAAACAGTAGTGGGATCACTAAAATTGCAAGACCTTAGAGAAAAGTTTTTTCCCTACCCCACTTTAACCAGCTCAGCATTTTCCATATATTTTTAATTTATTGATTCAGCAAAATCCATCTCAATACTGTGACTGCAACTTATTTACAGTCACTGAAGTACACATGCCCCCTTGTGGTGGAACATATATTAACACTCTGAGCTCTTGATAAAAATTTGAGAAAAGCTAGGAGGGGCCCTATATTCCCTTAGTCAGAACATCCTATGTAGAAAACTGATTTTCACTTCAACTCACTTCTATTTTGTATTATTGGTTGCATTTAGTAAATTTTTTTACTGTCCTGAAGTCAGCTTCAGAGGAGCCTGCACTTGTGGCCAATTGTCATTAATCACAGCTCATTCTCCCACACACTTTATACAGGACACTTCCTCTAACTCTGATGAACAGGGCGGGTCCCCCTGGAAGTTTCCAAATAGGAGCCTGAAGAAATGGGAAGGCTTTGGCCTGAGCCCCGGTATTCCACTGGTCTTATCCAGTTTTATCTATTCATCTCCAGAATGAGGCCACATTCAGAACTAAGGAAATAAATTGTGTAATATAATCCTCTGCTGTTTTAGGACTCCTTTTTATATTTTTTAAATTACTACATCATAATATAGTATGTCAAATTAAACAAAGGTAGTTGGCCATAATATATACAACCCTCCCTTATTCCCAGTTCATACTATACTAAATTTACACAAGCACATGAATACGCGTGTACATAGCTTCAAAATAAGCTTATGTCCCATTTCCAACTAAAGGAAATTGGCAGCATCAAAGTCATGAAACCACTCAGCTTTTCTTCTTTAATGGCTTCTTTGCATTTTTTTAAAGTCACCCACCCACTATGTCTCAATCTGCAAATATAGTGACATGTCATTACTTTCCATAGAATCTGTAAAGTTAATCAATTTCAACTTTCCATGTTGAGGACTCTTGGTGACTTTTGCATTGAAAGATCTAATTGCTCAAGGTTTGAAAAATAACTCAGATTTTATAATTAATTTCCCTTTGTTAACAGGAGATAAATCTACATAAAAATAGCTTTCAGAAGTAAACAGAATATCCACCCCTGTGGTCCTAGGAGAATAAGAATACTTGGTGTTTAGATGATACCCACCTGGAGCCTTCTTCTACTCAGTCTCACTGGTTTTCCTTCTTCAACTACAAGGGTGTTTCTGTGCAGGACCTGGGTGTGAGGCTGCTGACCTTCTGAGAACACCTGAACACAGACACCCACTTCTAAGTGTGTATCTTTCACTTTCACTGTCAGGTTGAACATGTCAAAGTTGCCACTGCCATTATGCCTATAAACCACTTGTCTTCGCTTCAGGTCATGCTGGGAAAATGAGTAAGACACAGAATTGTTGACCAGGACTCTGCCATGTTTTGGGGGCTGCACAATATGGAATTCAACCTCGAGATCTGTTCTGACATCTTGGTTTGTGGTGACACTCAGGTTGGCTGTGGTGAGGCAGCTGTCCTTTCCTCTCTGTACAAGCAGCCCTGTGTTGTTGGCTATCTGGACATAGGGGTCTGACACACTGACCTCAAGAAGGGACGACGTGTAATGGACACCATCAGTTACAAACAGCACGAAGCGGGCAGAGTCTGCTCCCCAGTGCCTGAAGAGCACAAGTCCTTCCCTCAGGTCTTCCTGCCTGAACTGGTAGAGTTTCTGAGTGGGGTCATTGGTTCGTACCAAATCTCCATTTGGGATGCCCCGCCGGGTGTAGAGCAACTGCCCATCATCAAAATCTAAGTCAGGGTCATGGTAACAGAGATCTTCCAAGGTCAACAAGCGCTGGCCATTCCGTACGACATGGAAGACCTTATCTACCATGCGCACTGGCCTCTCATCATTCTTTAACTCCACTGAAACAGTGACTTTGATTTCTGTAGACAATCGCTCTGAGTCAAGATCCCTGGCTACTCCCTCTTGGCCTGAACCTTTGGCAGAGGCCACAAGAAAGAATTCGTCATACTGGGTCTCAGAGTCATCATGAATATACATCAGCCGTTCACCCACTACGTCTTGATTGGTGAATGTAGTGATACTTTCATTAGTTTCCAGAGAATCTGGAAAGCTAATCAATTTCAGCTTTCCATGTTGAGGACCCTTGGTAACTTTGTATTGGAAGATCTGATTGTCCAAGGTTCGAACAAATAATTCAGATTTTGTGATTAACTTGCCTTCTCCTTCTTTTACAAGCAATCCCTTGTTTGTTAAAATAATGTGTGTCCTATCTGTTTTGAAGTTTATTCTGAAAGTATAGTCATTTGATTCTATGTGTTTTGCAATAATCAAAAACCTAAAAGTATCCTGGGAGTCTTCCCTTGGCCTCTCCTGAGGTTCATAACTTATCTTGGAGTCAGTAATATCTTTTTGGCTGAAGGTTGAGTTTGTTTTAAGAACTTTATCACCATGTAGCAATTTTCCTTTCTTAGGTGGGGTCAGTAACTTAAAAAGTAGCTCCCTCTTGGCTACTTCCACACCCCATGCTGCAGCCTGCAAATGATCAGAATTCAATATTTGCTGGTTTATGTTACTGACCTCTAGGGGAATATTTTTCAAAAGTGCAATTTTCAGCCATTGTATGGTCACAGGAAATATGAGCTCTTTGCTGACTTTTCCTTCTATGCTAACTTTAAATTTAAAGTGATCGGTAATATTTTCTTGCTGCAGTTCTTGGAATGTACTATGGTACCGGACCCTACCCCGATCAATGGAACGCTGAGAAAAGGTCCTAACTTGTTTCCATTCTCCACTCAACCCTCTACGCTGAATCTGGCCAAACTGAGGTGGGTGAGTGATGTCATAGCGAGCCTCCACCTCATGTCGTTCACCATTAACTTCCACTGACAAGTTACTCCCTGTGATCAGAACGGAGCCCCCTTGTGATACAACCACACCAGTCCTATTGGCCACTTCAAAGTCCCAAGGAACAGCCATGACCCGTAACACGGCTGTATTGCTAACCAGCTCACCATCACTTGCTCTCAGAACAATCCGCGAGTTGCGGTGACCCCTGTGCACATAGAAAATGTTGCCATCTCTTAAATCCTCATGTGTAAAGCTATTAATGGGTCTCCCAGGATCATTGGCATTTTCTAAAAATCCAGCATCTGAATTGAAGCTTCCAAGAACTGAAAAACTAAGACTTGAAGACACTGTGTCAGGGTCTGACACCTGTATTACATTTGGGGTCAGTTGTTTCTTTGAGTTCTCAAACAGGACCAGCAAATTTCCTTCCTGGAGCTTCAGGTATGGGGGATCATTCACTGGAATGACAATAATGTTAAACACTTGTGGAACATGGTTCTGCAGGTATGACGGAATTTCCTTCTTGCTATGGAAAGAGATGGAAAATGTGAAATGATCCGTAGGTTGCTCTGAACCATCATGCACATACCACACTTTTTCTTGCCACAAATCTAACAGAGTAAAAGTCTTCTCCATTTCTGGTTCAGGGGAAACATCTAATTGAATGAATCCATGAACAGGCATTTCTTCTATTTTAAATAGTAATTGAGAATAATTGATGTCCAAATCCTTAAATTCTTCATTTACGTCTAGATGCCGTGGTTCCAATAGGGCTCGTCCACCTTCTTGGACCTCCAAGTTATTCACAACCAAAAAATGGCTACTTTCATCTTGGAAGTTAGTCGCAGGCACTGCAGGGGAATGGGAAACTTCTGACTGAAGCAGGGTTTCCATCACTGTTGTAGAAGGATTAGCATTATCAACACTCTTGATTTTGCACCCAGCAGAAATATCTTTGGAAATAAGGGCGTCCCTTAATGCTCTCTTTTCTGAGTTGGTTTTCAAGTCTCTTATGCACCCTTTCAAAGAGATTCCTCGAGCAGATTTTCTAGGCACAGAGGCCAGTTCTAACCTCTTCACTTTTTCCCACATTCGAGTATCAAGACCTCCCACCAAGAGGGGGCCTTTGGACACAAATGGTTTGCTTGGCAAAGGCAGCAAAGTCCTCACCCTTTGTGCATCTACCACTAAGTCCATATACCTCTCCCTGAGTTTGAGTTGAATAACATGCCACTTGTTGTCACTAACTAAGCTAAAAGAAGAAAGCTGAATTTTGCTTTCATTTCTTCCTCCATACGCCTTCAGTAGACCCTCATATATTTCCAAGGCGACAAAATCCCCTTCTCTTCCTGACTGAAATACAAGCAAGGCTTGTTGGGTTCCAGTTTGCAATGCAAATTCCAATAGCCCTTCCCCTTGAACCTTCCATTCTGGAAAGGTGACATAGGATCTAGAGCTAAAGAAATTGATGGCTTCATCCTCTCCTGCAAAAAACTCATCATTGCATCCTAGTGAGACCTCAAAAACCTTCTTAAAACCAGGATAAGATCTAAGGGACATAAGGATCTCTTGCTGGTTAAATATGACATCCTCCATACATCCACGGAAGTTAGGAATATTTCCATCTAGGTAAGGCACATTGAGTCCCCCGTGGCCTCCTATGTAGATTCCGTGGTGAAAATTCAAATTATGCACCCCACCAGACATTTGGCTAGTTGTCTCATAATGTTTGTCAATAACCAAGAAAACATTATCCTTAACATAATACAGTTTCACCGAATGCCAAACCAAGTTGTCCATATGAACTCTTTGCTCAGAAAGGAGCACTTGTTCACCTGCACCCAAATGCATTCTCACCTGAAAGAGAAAGAATCATGATTAATAAATCTCATCTCATTTCTCCAAAGTATTTTATTATGAAAATGGGACTGGCACCCTAAACTTCCGGGAGTAGTCATTTGTGTGGCTGGGGGCAGTTGGCTTTGTGGTTGCTGGTGTGATTCGGCCCCTTATGGGGAAGACTAAGAGGGTTTGAGCATGGCAGAAGGAGACACCTTGGTATCAGTGGATTACAAAATTTTGAAGAAGGGGCAAGTGGTGGTTTTCCACAAGTACACTCAGGCTGAGGGTAAAAAGCTAGAATTGGCAGGCTGGGTCCAGAACACTGACTGGAGCACAGTGCAAGGACAATTGCAAGTTCCTATCTTTAAGGTGCGTCACATGCAGGAATGGCTTGAGACAACAGGAAGTCCCAAATCACACATTGACAAAGCAAATTTCAACCATGAGAAAATCATCTTGAAATTGGATTACTCTGATTTAGAAATTGTGAAATAATGGCCTGAATTTAAAATTTCCAATAAAAACTTAGTTTTGGTTTTTATTATTAATAGAAATAGAACTATTCTGTGTTCAATATTAGAATTAGTTATTTTTGTATCAGATATTTGTTACTGTGTGTTCCATGTGTGATGGAACACAACTTCACACAATTCTAATAAATAAAAACACATTAAAACAAAAGATAAAAAGAAAAGAGAATAGGACTGCTATGGTTTGAATATGGTTTGTCTCCACCAAAACTCATGGAGTTTAAGTCCCCAATGCAGCAGTAGAGAAAGTTGTTGGGGATTTTAAGAAGTGATTAAGTCATGAAGAGGAATTAATGCTTTTCTTAAGGGAATAAGTCCTCACTCTTGTGGAACTGGATTAGGTTTTGTAAGAACAGATTGTTAGAACAAGTTGCACATTGGGAGGGGGGGCAGGTTGTTAAAAAGCAAGCTCAACTCCTCAGCTGGATCTCTTGCTTTCCCTCTCACCATGTATCCCTTTCACCGTGAGGCCCTCACCAGAAGCAGAGCAGATGCCAGAACCCGGTCCTTGCACCTCTAGAACCATGAGCCAAAAGTACAGGGATTTTGATATAGCAACAGGAAATGAACTAAGGGTCCTCACACCGAGAGAGAGAGAGAGAGAGAGAGAGAGAGAGAGAGAGAGAGAGAGAAGGAGAGAGAGATATGAAAGCTCTTCCTACACTTGTAGATTTCATATTGAAGTTTGAAAATTTTAGGATCAGAATATTTAGGACATACTGGCAAAACTGAAGAAGATTTCACTCTATACAAATATGTCACTTTGTTCTCGTGAGTTGATAGTAATTGACACATACAGATATATTTTTCTCTTTCTCTTTCACTTTTCTCTCTCTCCGATAATCTATATTTTAAGGATATATTTTTTAAACCATACCCGTAAGGTTCCTGCTAGAAGTTCTATTACACAATAGTCATTTTTTCCAGCTGCAAGAAAAAGTAACCCCTGTGGCTTGCTGGTTTGAAATTTTAATTCAAGAGATAGCTCAGAGGAAACTTCTAGGATGTTGAGCTCCACATAGCTTTCACCATAAAAAGATGCTATGGGGGGAAAAAAGCATAAGTTAGTAAATTTATTACACAATGACTATTTTACAGTATGCAATCATCCCTTTCAGGAACTGATGCTGCTAAAGAAAGCTGTCTTGCCCAAGGCCACCCGGGTTTTCTGGGGTGGCCCACAGACCCAACATGGGTGTATAAAGTGTTCATCACTTATTATTCTCTCACCCTAACTCAGGACAGTGCCAAAAGTCATTTCTTCTTCAGAATTCTCAAGAGGAGCAGCCAAGGCTTCCACTGCGAGTAAACTGTAATTCAGCTTCTCCCTCTATCCAAGAAGCTTCCCCTCCACGAAGATTGATTCTAAGAGCTCTGGCTAATAAACTTCCCACATGCTAAGTTCCATCTCAGATTCTTCTTCTCCAGGAACCTGACTTGTGACCATTGGGACTGGAAGTAGCCCGAGAAAGCAGATGCTGGAATGGGATTTGGAGCTAAAGCATCAACCATCCAAATGGTGATTAGGACTCTATCACCAGGGACAGGTGAATCACAGAGAGCCCTGGCAATGATATAATTTCACTGGTGGCAATTATACTGGTATGGTGTAAGAGTGTAAGGGAACACATTAGCCCAGCTATAAAATGTCAAGCTATGAAAAATATAGAGCAAATAATAACTATGAGGACAATGGAAGTGGTTGCTTCCCAACAAATTTGAATAAAACTTTGGGGAAATATAAGGAAAAGCTAAAACAGATTAGTTACAATTACTAGTTAAGTGTGAAATCCAGAAGGTGTCGATGGGAAAATGCAATGTCCTTCTCATCTACAGCAGGAGGGCAGAGAAAGGGGAAACTCAGACCCAGGAATTGACACCAGATACAGTTAAAGTCCCAAATGGGACAGGCTTGTTCTGACAAGGCAAGTAACTAGTTAGGAAGAAATGGGACCCCGACACAAGGAATGGGAACATATGGGTTGCTGCATTCAATCATTTTTAGTCCCTAGGCCCTCTTGTACCCTTGGAGTCTGCAGAAGTGGCTCATTTCCCTATTAGGCCAGCACTCCCCACTTAAAAAGGATGCAGAAGACTCTCTTCACAAAACAACATGTGACCTGCAAAGATAAGACCCCATTTCTCTCCTCCTGGCCACTAGACCAAACACAAAGGTTAATTTGCAATGTAACCTGGGTGGGGACATGTTAGACTTGATGCACAATAGCTGAACTCCTAAAAGAGATGCAAAACCTACTCAAAATAAACTTCTAGTATGGGGGTAGGAGTAGAGGAGGGTGGAATACACATGAGACTGAATGTATCTGACAAGGAACAGGAGTATAAGGTTGATAAGGGAAAGTTTTTAGATTTTGAAGCACTCTTGACAGACATGAGGTACAACATATAACATCCTGGCAAAGTCTCCTTGAAATGATGTGAACTCATGCTAAGATGGCTCCTAGAAGCATGAAAAATGCAGTGGACCATTATAAATGAGATAGACATAGCATTGTCAGGGCATATGGTGGGAGAAGAGATTATAGGGATGAAAGTGGTGCATCCTAGATCAAGCATGAAGAGGACCAGAAGTCATATGCAAATCACACCAGATGGTTCCCCAGATCTTACGTCATCCACCAGTTTTGTGCCTGTACCCTTCTCTCAGCTCGCATAGCTGCGTAGAAAGATTCCTCACTACCAGCTAACGAAGGAGAAAAACACTTGGCTTTGAACGAGTCAGCTTCATCTTACAGACAAAAGCAAAAAATGGGCTCTAGCTGCACTACAGCTCCTTTCAGAGCAGCCATGAAAAATTCTAGTAAGGAAAATTCCTCCAAATGAATAGAACTGAATGGTACACCTAATTGTCCACTTACTATGGAACGAGAAATGTTCAGAAGTTAGAATATACAGACTCATCAATAGTGGCAACTGAACCAGCCACATGATCAGGAGCCTAAAATGAGAAAGAGTGAAAGATCAGGAACAAGAAGGGCTGAAATAGATATGAGCATGATGCAGGAAGAGTTTTATATTGCATAGTAATGCCCACCAGAAGATGCCTACTACACAATTTGTATTGAACAACCAGGCAGAAAACGTGACTTGGCCTGTCGACATCACCCAGCCATTATGCCACCCCAAAGTAGGTGCAATGGTTGCATAATGAAGTAGCTGTGATGGAGGCAAGAGTGGGGTCTATATATACACCCTGCTTTATGGGCTCCCTCTTGTCAAAGCTTTCCTACCTACTGCTACTGCTGAATATCCAATGTACCTCCACAAAGACTAACACTGAGTTCCCAAGATGTCTCCAGTTCTTGAGGAGATCAATTGTTCACTGGGTGGCAAGTTCACTGCAATCAAACCTTTCTCCTTGGCATGACCAGTGGTTCATTTTGACAAAAACAGACACATATCCTAGGTATATGTTTGCCTTTCTATTCAAAGCATTGAAAGGAGGGGAGCCTTCCACACTTATTCTATAAGACAAGCATTACCCTGATATCACACCATGTAAGGATATAACAAGCAGCAAAAGAAAACAATAAACCAATATCCCAAGAACAATAATGCAAAAAAATCTCAACAAAATACTAGCAAGCCAGATCCAGCAACACATCAAAATGATCATTCACCATGACCCAGGTGGATTTATCCCAGGGCTGCAAGGATTATTCAACATATTCAAACCAACAAATGTAATACATCATATCACAGAATAAAAGATGAGAATCATACAATCACCTCTATAGATGCAGTAAAAGCATTTGATAAAGTTCACATTCCTTCATGATAAAAATCCTGAACAAATTAGGTATAGAGGACCACACCCCATATAATAAATGCTATATATAACAAATCCACAGTCAACATCATACAGAATGGGGAAAACTGGATGTGTTTTCTCTAAGATCTAGAATAAGCTAAGGGCATGCACTCTCACTGCTCTTATTCAATATAGTACTGGAAGTTTTAACCAGAGCAATTAGATAAGAGAGAGAATTAAAGGGCATATGATTGGGAAAAGAGGAATTCAAACAATCTTGTTTGCAAATTATATGATATTATATATTTAAAAATCTACAAAATTTCACCAAAAAAGTATTAGAATTGACAAATGAATTCAGTAATGTTGCAGGATACAAAATCAACATACAAAAAATTCAGTAGCATTTTTGTAAACCAACAACAAATTTTCTAAGAAAGAAATCATGAAAGCCATCCCACTCAAAATAGCTACACACACACACACACACACACACACACACACACACACACACTGTGAATGACTTTAACTAAGGGAGTGAAAGACCCCTGTAATTTTAACCACAAAACACTAATGTGAGAAGTTGAAGAGGAAAGGAACCATCTCCCATGTTCATAGATTGGAATAAACCATATTGTTAAAATGTCCATACTATCCAAAGCTATTTACCAATTCAATACAATCCCCTTCAAAATTCCAATGATATTCTTCACAGAACTAAAAAAAGAAAAAGTCTTGAAATTCATAAGGGAGCAAAAAAAATCCCAAATAGCCAAAGCAATCTTGAACAAAAAGAAAAAAGCTAGAAGAGATACCATACCTAATTTCAAAACATACTATGGTCTATAGTAACCCAAAACAGCATAGTATTCACATAAATACCATGACACAGACTCAATGGAACAGAAAGGAGAACCCAGGACTAAATGTAGGCATCTACAACCAACTGATTTTTTAAAAAATCACCAAAAACGTACATTGGACAAAGAACAGTCTCTGAGGAAAGGTACTGGAGAAACTGGATGCCCATACACAGAAGATTGAGATTTGACCCCCTATCTCTCACCCTAGAAAAATCAGCTTATATGGATAAAAGACCTAAATGTAAGTCTGAAACTACTAGAAGAAAACATTGGGGAAACACTTCTTCAAGACATTGATATAGGCAATAAAATTTTGACCCCAAAATCATA